ACACGCTTTCAGGGATTCATCTACCTAATCGCAGGATCATGTTTTTGCATCATTATACCAGGGCTCCTCTAGGTCCTTAAAAATTAATTAATTATGAAATTTGATTAAACAAATTTAAGGTCATAAAATGTCTTAAAAATTCTTAATTTTATACACGAAATATCTAAAATTTTCAGATTAAGCTTAGACTAACTGAGACATGTCCAAATACTTTATCAAATCTGTTTATATTACTGTATCTAGTTAGCATTATAATGTTTATTTATGACTAGTTTTTGTGGATTTGCGTGCTGTATATTTCATTCTTGTGACTTATACATACACTGTCTTCCACATTTTCCATGAACTGAAACAAGAAGAAGCTGCTAGCAAGATGAGGACATGCAAATAAGGGCAATTTGGCTCTAAGATGAAAAGTACTGGTCTGTAGCAAGTAACATTTTTGAGGCAACCTGCAGGATGAGCCAGGGAAATTTAAACTGGGTAAATAGGAATTAAAGCATTTGAGTCTCATATGAAATCAAAAAAGCACAGATGATACAACTGCTGCCACTACATCATCAGCTCCTGTTGGAACAAACACTACACTGTATATCTGCCTTTGAGATTTTATCATTTTATATTAATGAAAACTGGTTACACATGCTACACCTGTGTTAATGTGTGTTTGTTCTACTGTGGAGGTGGTATATCTTTTGTGTTTAGCTCTTAAAAAGTCTTAAATTTGATTTCAAAAAGTACGCAGCAACCCTGTATACTGGATTCAAAAACTTGACTGTACACTGAGAGCATGATTTACTGGAAGTGCAAATCATTGATTGAATATTCTCTTTCTTACTGTTGCTTTCATACATTTGCTCACCACATGTCCTACAAACAGTGTCTGCTTTTCAAGCTGTGTAAACGACATCCATAATTTGTAATATACAGCTTGAAAAGTATCTGCAGAATACAAAGAGTATGACATCACACGAATCATCAACATAATTCAAATAAAACACTGAAGCCTATATGTTATGCCATTATCGCAGCAACATGGTTTATGTTGTGACAGCAGTGGCGTGGCATGATGGAGTATTTGTAAATGAAACATGCATTTGTTTAGTTTGGTAATGGTTTATGCATTTCTTTTTTTTTTCCTTACAGAATACGATGAACCAGAGTGTCAGACTGCTTCAGAGGGTATCCAGTGACCTGCCGGTGAGGAAGCACACTGACAAAAATAGTGCTGTTAATACAACATAAATACTACAACAGCAAGCTACTTGCTGAACTGACTCATACACATCCAGTTCAAATGAAATTATCTCTCTTTGTCTCTCAGGTTAAGGTTACTAATATCCTGAGTGCCATAGATGCGGCAGAGTATCTCATCGCATATAACGCCTCCAATGTGGTGACGCAGGTACAAGACTTTGTGGCAATGTCCTTAGTAAATCTGAATATGTATTTCTAGTATCTCTATAAGGAAAGGTCAGATTTCCATTACATAAAAGCCACTAGCAATGAAAAGACTTAGGTGTTTAAGTGTATTTTGAGAAAGACAAGGCAAGATTGTTTGTAGAGCACTTTTCAAACAAGGTAATTCAAAGTGCTATACATAAGACATAAAGAGTATTAACAAAAGAAACACAAGGCAGTATAAAAAGACATTTAAAAGAGTAAATAAAATAAGATATAATAGAATTAAACAGAAATCATAGGGTTAAAAATTACAGTGCAGTGCGAGATATGTATAAATTGTCCCAAATTTGATTTAATAAAAGGCAGCAGCTAACAACAATAGTCTTAAGCCCCAAAAACAAAGATTTATATGTGTCGATTTATGGTGCATAAAAACATAAGCTTTTCCATGTTTAGCTCCCTAAAGGAAAATGGGTGTCACATCAGCCTGAACAAGGCATTAAATTTACTTTTCTATGTCTTTTATTGGCCTCGTTTTCTAATAAAATAGCTTCTATGCTACACACAGATGGAACCAACCTCCTGATGACATTAAATGAAAGCCCTGCTGTTTACCTGTGCCTTTGACTGACTGGCTTCTGTGCTGCACTTTTGTTTCATCTCTTGCATTCAGGGCAACTTACAACTTATTTCTGCATTATAACTGCTAAATAATTGTGTTTCAGACCTTTTACTTTGTCTGTTTTTATTTTATGTATTTTATCTAATTTTAAAAATGTCTCATTTTGTCTTAACTGATTTTATTCTGGTTTTTAATGCTTATTGTTTTTAAAGCTGCTACTGTTTTTCTTTGCTTATTTAAAGCCATTTCTATTGCCTATGTGTATGAAATGGGCTATATCAATAAAGCTGCCTTGCTTTGCCTAATAAGCACATGATGACTGATTGGATTACAATCTACTTTATTAACTGACCCAGAATTTTATTATAATTTCATTATAATGATGATTTTACTATTTTACTCATGATGGACTGTGGAGAATTCTGTAGTTTTTTAAGTTTCTTATGATTCAGCAGTAACCCCAAACACAGGAACTGCAGCACTAACCAGACTGCAGTCACACATTTGCTAACTTTTCTTTTCTCTGTTGGTTTGTAGGAAACAACCGGCTACATGGAGAGCTTGGTGGGATACTTCAGACAGTACACAGAATGGGTTAAAACCTCAGTAGGTATTCTCCCCATTGTCTCTCTTCTTTGATATGCTTCAAATCCAGAAGCAGAGCAAATAACCAAAACACATACAAAAGGGAAAAAAGCATTGCTGTTCTCCGGGACACCAGGGGGAGTCATGGGTTTAATGTAGACGAGCTGCAGCATTACAGAGACCTTTATGTATCCACCAGCCTTTATGTTACTAGCTCATATATTCATTATAATATAACGTGTGGCCAGTTTTTTTGTTTTAGATAATGCCTCTTTGGAAAATTTCTCCCATGTTTTCAGAGATATGAGGACCTTTGGATTTGGAGTGTGTTTCCCTAATGTTTGTGCTTTCTCCTGTATGTACTTTGTCTTTAGGAGCCAATGTAAAAAAGTGCAAAAATTAACCCACATGTTTGCCTCTTTAGATTTAAATTATCTAATGGTACAAATTGTGTCAATTGATTGAGGAATAGCTTAAATGTTGGAGGAGATTCTCCTTCCATGATAACAAAATAAATTTTGTTATCATGGAATCTATATCTAACATACTGTACATGTTCCATATTTACTTACGCAACTAGGACAGTTTGGGCAGTTCAAGCTCTCACCCATCCTCACCAGAGTAAGATAGCAAGATTTATAAACAAACTTAAAATGAGCCACTTTAATTTTGTTATAGTACATTTTAAATGTATTAAGTTGCATATGTATCCCCCATGTGTCTTCATCACATCACATGCTTAGATAATTTCTCTAAGAATTATAGGAGAAGCCACAGAATTGGCTGATTTTTCTTGTTATCAAAGTGGAAATGAGGGTCTTAAAATGTGCAAACAGCACTTTGACACCTAAAGGAACAGTGTTTTTCTGTGGCGGAGTTACTGTGGCTATAATTAATCATGTTGAATCAACAGTACAGCTCCACC